CTGATTAAACAACTCGTATATTTTTTTCAAGGCGGATGTTGCTTTCGGAATAATTCCTGACAATAACGAGGGGTTACGAGATCCGGGTATGGCACATGTCAAAACAATTGTTTGACAGACGGCAAGTGTCGAGGGTCGGTAAGCCCTGATTGGTCGCATCGGGAATCCGCGGATAATCCATTGTCCCGGAATAGAGACCCGTGCTCCCAGAGGGTTGCGAGAGTATTTGCATTCGAAAAAGATAACGTTATTTACTGCTGCCTGATATCGCCCATCCCAGCAATTTTTATAAACAAGGCGATCTTTCGGGCAACCCACCGAAGCTCATTTCCGATACATTTGTATCGCTTGGATGTTGTCGACGCGAGTGGAATTAAAAAGTTATATCGACCACCTGTACTTGGTATTTCGCGAGAGGAGCATTAACATAAAGTGAACATTCCTGAATTGATTTCTCGACGTGTTTCACTCCACCTTAACCTGTAAGAAGCTCCGAAAGCTCGTCGAGTGGACAGATCGTACAGTACTCGAAAGGCTAAACTATGTAATTTGTCACACCTTAACGTTTGCAGTACCCCATTCTTCCACATCTTGACACCGTTTCCATTTAAACGGGCTCTCACAAATCATACCGCAAAATGTTCGCGAGTCTTCCTCCTCGAGTCAGGAATTCCGCGGAAATTGGTTTCGCGAGTGTTGAAAATAAGTTGGCATCGCGTAAGGACGCAATTTGGGAAATAGGACGTCAACGAGGTCTCCAACGGCAGTTCCATACGATTACACCGTCTCTATCCGTCGTCCCCGAGGAGAGCTGGCAAATTCCATTCATACGTAAGGAAGGTTTGCGAATCGTCGGAAGAGTCCTGCAGATCCGAAAAACGGAGCAAAGTCGCGGAAAGGAAGCAAGCACCGATCTTTCGGAGTCGCCAGACACGAAACCGTCGAAGCAATGGGTCATTTAGGGGAAAGACCGACTCGTTCCTGCGGAGGAGAAAACGCGTAGGTCGAGGGAAAATATCACGAGTGACCCACCGAAGTGCTTTCCACTTCCACCAGCAGCCTTTTTGCTGGGAAGCAGGACTGGAAATCGTTCCCCAGGCGAAACGTTGCGCGTTCCGGCTTGGACCCGGTCGGCGTGCAACTTTCATTATTCCACCTTATTCGAGCTCGTAATCATTTTAATGTCTACCCCCGCGAGAGGATTTAAACTTCGAAGGAGACCCGCCAAGGTGACGAATTCATGAATATAAAGCAGTGCCACCACCATTCGATTTTACGACTACCGTCTGCCCAAGCCTTGGTCTGTATAATGGACTTTGTCGAGTAATGTATGCGAATTGCCGGAAGAACTGACACGATATTAAATTACAAGGGATGGACACCCTCGTTAAACTCATTCGCTGTTAAATACTCGGACAGGGACGTGGTGCTGGTGAATCTTGGATTGTTACCTAAATCAGTCCTTTGTGCACGGAAAAAAATAATGCTTAGGAAAACTACAATTGTGGTCATCGTAACTCTATTGCAAGGCAACATAGTAAGGGTTACTTCACGATTTACAAGGAATATTTTTCAGGCGTCCGCCTCCGATTGTTTTGGTTCTTGGATATGTTTCCAGCGAGTAACACGATTTTAAAGGCAAAATTCAAATTGTCACCTTTATTTCCCCGGAGTTCAGGATTTCTCTGTATCGCATGCTGCAACTCAATTTCAGTGATTTGCAGGTACCATCGAAAGCGGAAACGAGACATTTGGAAACCCAGTCAAGGCTTGGCATTATGCATGCGGTTTTTTATCGGGCATGGTATCATACAGGTAAATTCCTCGGTCTAATATGGGAAATTAATCAGCCAGTAACACGACTTTAAAGCCAAAATTCCTATTGTCAGCTTCATTTCCCCGGAGTTCAGGATTTCTCTGTATCGCTTGCTGCTACTCAATTTCAGTGATTTGCAGGTACCATCGAAAGCGGAAACGAGACATTTCGAAACCCAGTCAGGCTCGGCATTATGCATGCGGATTTTTATCGGGCATGGTATCATACAGGTAATTGGCGACACGACGCGGTGACCGGCAGTTTCCAAAAATTAGGGACATACACGAAACGACCCGAAATCTGCGAAACGGGTTACTGGGTCCAAAAAGTCCGGATGTATGGAGCCGAGGGAAAATTCAATATTTGTCCCGATCACTATTGAGCGCAGTTACGAAACGATAACTTGCTAATTACGCGAGAGCGCGACTTGTAAATTCCTGGATAAAATCGTCGGTCGTCGAGGGTCCAACAACAGATATTCGTTTTTTTTTTATGCACGCCATTTCGGTATTCGTGCCACCGCCAAATATGAATCCTACCTCCGTATCGATTATTCGCAATACCGCCGGTCGGCAATCGATTTCAATTGCATCTTTTCGGGGCTTCGTTTCATCGATTTTGTCCCTGGACTGGATTCGATTTCACGTCGCTCAGGTCTATTATGCTTCGTTACATCCTCTTGTTATTTTCCCCTTTTCTCTTTGTTGTTCCAATATTACGGTAATTAGATTTTCTTCGGCTACATTTCGAAAATTTACCGACCGTAGTCAAATTCTCTCCGGATTACTTTGGCAGTACTTCCTATTTGAGCGCACAGAGAGAATTATTTACGTTATATCTGTTATTTCGTGTAACAACGTTTTTTTTTCTCGGGCAGGACATAATGTGAATACATGTCTTAATGTTTCGTGAACATGTTGGATATAGTGAATAATCTTCGCGAACGTGTTTTAAGGTGAAGTTAAACAGTTCGTTTTCAAAATAACAGTTGTGTGGAATTATATTGGGTATTGGACTAAATGGCAAACTCCAGCTGTCATATTCTTATTTTTAAATATATCTGCGTAATGCATTTTGAGCCAGCAATTTTCAACGCATTGAATTATAATTGCATTGTATAACTTGTTTACCGTAGGTTGTGTGTCTGAAAACTTGAACGAAGCTCAATGCATAATTATTAAAAACGTTAAAATTCATCTCGCCTTTTTTGTCGTTTGATGTCACTCTTCCCACCCTATGAAGGTGACTTGTTTACGGAAAGGAGTAATCCCTTGGCGAACGGGAAACTTTTTACGCTTCTAACTTTCAACAACTTTCGAAAGACTATCAAAAGCTCGAAACGGAAGCGCAATCTTGTTTGACCCGTCAGCAAACTAACCTTCGATCGATATGGTTTTTTGTAAATGGAGATAAATATTGGAGTGTTATTGACACTCTATGAAGAGACTATCAACGAGCAGTTGATACTTTATACGTGGTGTGCACGCAGGGAGGACCCCCTGCAAGCACTCCTTATGATCGATGTTACTTTCCCGTCGCACCCAGTATACATTATTCATAAGTGCCAAACTCGAGCAAATTAATTATTATCCTGATAAACGTCGCGCGTCTCCTGGACACAGCGATAAATCGTCATCCTCGTGACACATCGCTCGAGCGAATCTCGAAATACACTTCTCGAGCGTGTCGGTGCTCGGAGTCGCCATATTTTTCCAAATTTCCCGGCTGTTTCTTTGGATTTTTCCGCGAAAACAACAATAAATAACGGTGCACTATCGGGAATAGGTCCATTAAGGATTCTTCTAACAGAATTGGAAAAAAGGCAGGCAGAACTAGTGGCGCCGTTTCTGCCGTGAAATCGCTGAGCGCAGCATGAAATTACTTACACCGAAGAGTTGTTCATATGATTTCATATGATCATTATTATATAAAATATCTTATGTAGCTACGTCCGCACAAATACAATTATTTTCTATCCAGTACCGTTTAGATTCGTGGTTTTTCATTCGCATCTGGCTAAATGAATGGCGTTATTAAGCTGCCATTTGGCGGTTGCATTTCTCGTTTCTGCTTGAGCTCTAGGAAATATATATGATAAAAATTTACACAAATCTGCATAAAGGTGAAACAATCGCTAAACGAATAAATACTCCCCCTTGAATATTCCATATTATCCGCCCATTATACCACCACCTACTCGCGGTACGTAAAACGGTTTCAGATACTCGAAAAGACATCCGCTGGATTTTTGCCTTTACGGCCAACTGCGAAGGGCTGATCTTAATTAGAAGAAGGACGTAGAGGAAATCCATCTAAATCTCTGTGAAAGCAGGATTAATTTCATAGTCAATCGGATAAATTATCTCATCGAAATCCCCGACGTCGTCCGTCCGTCCGTTGTACCATATCTGCTGCGATCCTCAATTAAGAAAAAAAAAAAAAAAAGAATCACTTATCCTCCGTTCTTCCGCTCCCATTCCGTTTCCAAAAGCAATAATGTCCAGGATTCGCCATCGAGTTTCAGGTTCGGAATCGATCTTCGAGATTCACTCGAGAGTGCTGGAGGATCGGCGGGTTTTTCACTTTTCTCTTTCGGAGCCTCTCTCAAGACGAATCTAGGAGGATCCTCCGGGAACGATCGATGGTGGAAAGGAGGATAAAAATCGAGAAACTCAATGTATCTTGCTTTGCTATCCTAGCCTGGCGAGAGCACACCCTTAATATCGAATTCCACGCTCCCGATATTCCTCGCTGGTCGATTCTATCGATTCATCGAACCTAATCGACCTCATCTCTTCCTTCATCCTCGACCCTTTTTCCCTCGCATTATTCGATAATGTGCAATATAGCCGGACCAACCAATCGGGCGGTTTTATCCGGGGATACGAAGTTAAGGGTACAAAAAGAAAATGTCACCATAAGCGGTGCAATTTTTCCGCATTTACGTGGAGGCAAGAAACGTGGTCAAAGTATGCAAAATCGTCGCCTACTCGGTTTAAGGGGTTATATCCAGACGTCATAGGCGAAATTTATGAATTTCTTTTCGTACCTAAAATGCATTTTTTAATCGAAATCAGGCGAAACTGAAATAACGGCTTTCGATATTTATCCATAAGTCATGCACCCATGTAAGGACTATCGAACGGATAAGGATCAGAACAGGCGAAAGAAAAGTCCGACTCACCCTTGCGAGAGCAACAGCAGGGAAGTCGTCCCAGGCGAGGCGCGCTTCTTCGCCGGCGTTTCCTTGGCGCTGTCCCGAGAGGATCCGGGCGGCCGTGAGGGTACTCATCCCCATGCCGTCGCCCACGAAGAGAACAACGCCTCGCGCCATACCCGAGGGTGGTGTTGACCCCGTGCCGCTTGAAGTGGCCGCCGCTCTGACTCGCGTCTCGATTGCGCGAGCCGCTGCCTCGTACCAGATCTGCCTCTCTGGCAAAGAAACGCACCGTGAGACCACGAGATCTTGTTCTGCCGTCTTTTCGATCATCGATCAGCGTGCATCGATAACTTAACCAATTAACGGTGTTCACCACCAAAGTGGGGACGATGACTCCCGCCGCTAGATGGCATTAGCATCGATAACCTAACCAATTAACGGCGTTCACCAAATACATCAGGAATCGTTGTCCCCGTGAGACCCTACAAAATCGCTGAACTGGTGTGCGTTCTTAAGGTGAAGTGAAACACGTCGAGGAACTTGATCGACGTCGGAGAGACAAATTTGACAAACGAGGACGCCAATGAAAATTAATAATAATCTATCATAATCAATTTGCGTAAGTATGCGTTGTTTTTCTACATCTCAACTTATTATACAGGCTTCTTCATAAAAGTGCAGATTTGTAGAAAGTCGTTGAAAGCTCATGAGATTGGCAGAACTGTGACTTCTGCACACGTAAGGACAAAAGAACTGGAGCGGGAACAGAGGTAGTTAGAGCTAAAATGGTGAAGTCAAGAGGTCATCAAATCTCTACGCTCGTGAAAGACGCGTTCCGATTTCCGAGGCGAACTCAGAATATCTAGATCGTCGATCTCGATGAAATTCCGAAGGATTATAGTACTCGACGGGTGATTACACGCAGTATTGGAGAATGTCGATGGGTATGAAGCCCGATTCCCGAGAAATCAAGGGTTCATAACTCGGAATTTGTCGAGTAGGCACTTCGTGGGATTTCCACCAAGAATGCACAATACGCATCCCCCCTTACACGGGAGAAAGGATTCCCATAATCGCCCCCAAAACTATGTCTATACGTATAAATAATTACAAACGGTTGTTGTACAGAGTGAAGAAAACGTGATGAGGTTTCTAAGGTAACGTTTTACATCTCTTGCGATATTTATACGTATAAATAATTACAAACGGTTGTTGTACAGAGTGAAGAAAACGTGATGAGGTTTCTAAGGTAACGTTTTACATCTCTTGCGATATAAGATGCATAATGGAAGATAACATATATTTTTGGCAAGATGGTCTGGAGAGGTCGGGAGACCGTGGAAAGTTAGACCGCGGAGTTTGAGATCCCGAGCGGATAAGCGCACAGCCTTAACCCAATAAATTAGATTGGCTTAACCTAATCGGTACATTGACTTTAAGGGGAGACGCGGATAGGAGTCTAGGGGTCCCCCTGAGAAGAGCGTATCCACTGGTTTAGGATAAGATTATAGGATCCGACGTCCCAGGGATGCTGGAACCTTCGGGGTAGTCGAGCGAGGGCTTTAACGCGATGACGCTCAATTGAAAATAGGTCGGAGGGTACCAATTGGCACGAAACTGGTGTACGACCAGTTGGAACCACAATGGTGGTACGCTCTGCCTGGAAACATGTATGAATTGGTCGATCGCTAATGGCCAAGTTCTGACGAGCGAATAGCTCGACCAGACCTTGATGAGCTCGCGGATAATCACCGGAGTACTTTGTTTGTTGCGTATGACACATTAGATTCAATCACCTATGTTCAATAATTGGACTTCTCAAATTCTCTGGATTTCAGCTCCAATGCCGAAAACAACTTTCCTTCGCGTTTCTTTATCGCTCTACTACGTAGTACGCTAATTATTTGTTAGTTACGTAACTGTTAGGTTTGCTGTTCAGTGGGGATAGAATGAATATAACTCCGATATATTTTACCTTACGCAGTGAGAACTTTCAGAAAAGTTAAAAGATGGAAGATACCTTACTTTAATTTCCTTCGAGTGACCCATACATTAGATTGTCTCCTCCCTTTCTATAAGTTCTACGTGTTCAGCTATCGACAAAACTGTACTATCATCAGTCGGAAATTATTTATTCTTATTATTAATTATTTATTATATTTCTTATTTTCGGAAGGGATTACCATGCTTGCGAATAGTTTGTCACGGTTACTTCTGTGTCTATCTTACGTTGGCGAGCAATGCAGCCTCATTGTTTGCAGATTAAACAGGTAACTGCTTCTGATATTAAGTAAATTCCGTACGATGTGTCCTCGTGTGATAAGCATATGGATTCAGGAAGCTATTCAATGTCTCGAGTTGAATGTACACTTGACATCGAGAGCTTAGCATATGGGGTAATCCCGATTCTGAAAGCTCAGTTCGTAGAAAAGGGAACTTCAACGGAGATCGGCTTCTATTTCGCGATCTCTTATTCTTTACATTTTTTAAAACAACAGGAACGATTCCTCCTGAACAAAATTATTTACAAAAATTATTTTTTCGCTTTCCATGAAAAATTCATGTGTTTTTCTCATTAAAAATCAGCGGATTTAAGCATATACACCTGGTACACATACCTCTATCAGGCGGGGAATACATGCTATTTGAGGAATTTAGGAGAAAATCAAAATCAATCGAGTAAACAATTCGTTTGGTCCAACAATTCCACTCCTCCGAGTGCAATTTAGTCGAGAGAGGAGAGGAATTCGAGGAATTTCACGCAGTTCCTGATCGCGTTCTATTCACTTCGTCCGCGGAAATGAATCGGTTATTGCTTCGAGGAAATTGGCCGTCTCTCAAATCTAGCCAATTATTCGGTCAGGTCCCGTCTTCACAATTAGGAACGATCCACTCCATCCTCCTTGCGGTGGAGTCCTTCGGCATCTTGACGCAATTTCCAATTCATCGGCTTACCGGCTTACGGTCTTGCCTGAATTACTCGCCGCTGAATTTCGGGATTTAACGTCACGATAAATCGATCTTATGTCACAGTTCCGCTCGGTTAACGCTCGAGGAATAAACTGTTTCGTATGTAGATACCGGGCGTGTACAATTACCGTTTCGAGGGCGAAATGGAGAACGTTGCAGTAATTTCCGATGCCATTTCACAGGAACAAATTGTTCGTCAGGAGTTACGTTTGTTAAGAATTTGGTAATGGGTGTCTATCTTATTCACTTGGGAATCGATCAAAATGATTTCATTCCTAAGGAAGTGATTGCAATTGATGTCATACGATAAACGGTAATGTTATGGATTAGTTAGTGATTTCCGGCATTAAAATGCATGATTTCCTAGGTTTGTTCGTTCTGCCTACACTTTCTACACTCTTACGAAAAGTGTACACTTTGGCGTTCGTTTTAGCTAAAGGACTAATCGGAAGAACCACCGATAGAATTTGCTCTCATTCTTCATCATTTAACCTGACAATTGTGGATACTGAAACCGCAGGTGTGGTTGTAACCAAACGTCGCGACGACATTAAGAATGCAGCAGTGTTTCTAATCGAAACTGGAGGTAATGAAAATACCTTTATGGAAGATCGGATATTAATCAGCTGCAATGTGCGCGCGTTTGACGGGAAAATAAATTGCGGTTGCAAAAGGAATTTCTCTCTGACATACTCGTAAGGGAATGAAAAGCTATTTTGAGTGGAACCAGAGCAAAGGTAATAAGTGGAAGTGGTGTACAACATTTCGGGATAGAAGTGAGAGCATGTCCGAAAAAATACGACTTATAGCCGAAGGCAGGCAACAAATGTCGATGTTCCATTATAGTACGAGATATCGGAGACAATACAAATCCCAAGAGTAATGGGGAATAGAAAACGTCATAAACACCGGTAGGGTGTAGTATCCAACGAATGGTGTATTTGTTACCACACGCATGAGACATTTTTATGTTCCGAATCTTGACCGTAAACGAAAATTTCATCAATTTTAGAATTTATCGCTACAATCGAAATTATCCTCCACAATAGTGCCATGTTGAAATTAAAGTTAGAAATTTCTGTAACCTCAAATTGAATTCAATCGAACTATAACCCGTACAGGGCGGAAGTACAGAAAGTTAGAAGTGGAGTTTAACTTTATTACCTTTTATGAGAAATTAACTCCCCCCGTAAAAAAAATGTCACGAAAAAAACACATTCAGTTCCTCGGGAACTTTTCACACATTGAAACGTTCCCGAGGTTCTCGCGTTCATGGCCTCTCGAAGCGATTAAAAAATTCCCCTAAAAGAAAGAAAGAGCTCTTAAAGTGATATGAGTCAGCCTATATATATCCAAGAGGTCAAATCGTTGGTGAAAGTATTCTCTGAATTAGATGTACCGATTCGTTTGAAATTTTACCACGCGAATATGGAGGCCTTTAAGTAGGTCCTGAAATCGTCCTGAAATCGACGTCGATTCTCAGCGCCTTTCATAATTCATTTTAACAAATTTAAATCCGGCTCCACCGGAATGCTTGGAATGAAGGAGCAAACCCGGAACAGCAACCTCGTTGTTTGACTTTCGGTATTTCATGAATCGTCGGCGGTTTCGTGTCTAGCGTTCCTGAAAAGTTGCCGTGCTCGGAAAGCATCGACTTGCTCGCCGAAACGAAATTTTCGGTGCGTGCAAAGTCGGGAAGCGAAAACGCATAATCGCGAGCTTACGGCGTTTTCCCACGCGACCGTAAAGCTCCTCCAAAGCGTGGGTGTATAATTCGACTGTTGGCGGCATCGATTTTCTCGAAGGAGGGTCGCTCTTTTCGAACTCAGTCCTCGAGACTTGGCTCCGCGAATCCGGACATACTTCCTCAATTTCGCGACTCGTTAGAGCCGAAGGCGCAAACCGAAAATGGTCGTTTAAGGTGAAGTGAAACCCCTCTGAAATAAGCCGACGCGAGTAACACACTTTTTTTTTTTTAATATTAAATATAAATAATTTTTTAATATTAAATATAAATAATTTTTTAATATTAAATATAATTTTTAATATCGAACGTCGATAAGATAAGTATTTCGAAAAATCTTCTTTGCGACGTCGGTCAAGTTCCTCGACGTGTTTCACTTCACCTTAACCGAGATAAAATTCCGAGTGGGACGAAATGCAAAGAATGTCGACGAGCCGACTGTCGGGAGTTCCGAGCTCGAGCTTTTTGCGCAAAACTTGTGGGATAGGTCAGCGGAAAAGGAACGTCGGGCTGCTCTGAATTTTTCTCTTCGAAGGGAAATCCATGGTGACGAGGACG